CAAGTCGTATTGCTCGTCTACGCACTTTGGCATCACAGGAAAAATCGAAGGCACGCTACGACGTCCGCCACCGGCCTGTAACTTACCATCCAGGCGACTTAGTGTGGCTCTGGACTCCGGTACGAAGACGCGGGTTATGCCAAAAGTTTTTGGCCACGTATGACGGACCGTTTGTTGTTCTCAACAAAATCACTGAAGTCAGGTACACAATAGCTCGCTTCACGAGAAGTGGTAGAAGAGCCGCTAAAACCCAAGCAGTCCATGTCGCTCGACTGAAGTTGTACACACTAAAGTGAATCAATTACCTCGCCCGGCGGGCTTCGTCTGCGATGGGAGGAATGTTGCGCATGCCTGGGAAGAAAACGAAGATGGGTGAACATGCTGGCTGCCCCAAGCTGGAGAAAGAAAGAAGACACGACACTGCGATCGTCAACCTGTTGGCCGCTCCGGTGCTTCTCATCGCGACCGAAATAAACGGCCCCTTCAGCCGTATACGTCCTGGTCCTCCTCGTGCGTAACAATATTGTGACAGCAGCACCGCTTAATATTTAAATCATGTCAGCGCGAAGAGACAAAAAAAAAAGGTGCGTAAGTGGTGGGGGGGGGGAGAAAGAGTTCAAAAATTTCGGGAAGAGTTTGAACCCCCTCCTTAGCTACGCCATTGATTCGAGAGTATGTGCCCGAATCGCGAATCACCGTCTTGGCATGACAAATAGCAAAAACAAATAGGAGAATAACGCGCTCGACCGTGTACCGTCAGAAGCTATTTTAGGGCCAGCCACTGTATACAAACACAGACACAAATAAGTAGGCAAGAAACCACTAACGCTGCTTTCAATATCTTACAAAGCTACAGAAAATAAGTTGAAGTGATGTATTTTATGCCCACATTTCCTGCTCGGGTTAAAATAAGGCTAACGGTGACGCGTGGCAATTATTGCACGGCGGCGGCGGCGTGGTCCTTTTCGAGACTTCGGCAGCGGCGCACAGTCCTCGTTACATGCGGACTAATATACACCTATGCGAATGCTTAGGAATTTTCAATAATTTAAATTTAAACCAAAGCAAATTCAAATACTCTACTATTCGTTCGAATGTTCGAAGCATTCAAATATTTGCACAAGCCTAATTACACGAAAATGATTACTCGTAATCCATCAAATTTTCTTGTACGTAACTAAGAAATCATCGATTACCTTTTTGAAAGTAATACTCAGGACAATTTATTTATATTTTTCCGTAAATAATTTCAGGTAACCAATAACTTGTTTTTTTCCGAAATCAACTTTGAAATGGTGTTTCACCGCAGTTCTCGTCCCACAAAATATACAACCGCTCCGTATAAACCCCCCGTCAGCATTTATTTAAAAGCTTTTTTCACATTCACTTTCGCCTTAATTGAAACAGTGAAATGCAATGCTTTATAGAGGACATGGAGACTAACAGCATCTTCACCACCAACTGCATCGCCCTTAGACTGGAATGAATCGCACTTCGGCCCGAACTTAACTTAAAACGGAAGGCTGAATTTCAAGCACTTCTCCGAAAACACCGTGACTGCCTGACCATGTCATCCAGTGAGCTCAGCCACACTGCTTTGGTGCAGCACAAGATCAACTGAATTTTCTGTTCAGCATCGCCCGCGTAGAGTCTTTGCCTTTGAATGCGCAGGAATCACTAAGCAAGTTGATGACATGCTTAAGCATGGTATCATATCGCGCTCATCAAATCTGTGAACGTCTCTCGTAGTCCTTGTCAGAAAGAAAGACGGCACAATCTCTTTTTGTGTTGACTACCGACGGCTAAGCAATGTCACTAAACCTGACGTGTTGGCTATCTAACTTGAGAGACCTTTCGGATTGCCTCGCACGGTAGAGCCTAAGACTTCTAAGAATTCGACGTGACCATTGTTTACAAGTGTGGAAAGAAACACTCTGACGTCGACTGCCCATCTCGTGCCCCCGTCGAACCACCGCTGCCCGACGGCCTGAATGAGGACAGCTTCTTAGGAACAATAAGCGCAGACGACTTCACTGAGCAACAGTGAGCTGACGCGGAACTCACAAGCCTTGTGGAATACCTTGAGGGTAGCAGCACGACTGTTCCAAATATTTTCAAGAGAGGACAAGAGTCGTTCTTCCGAAACAGTTCTCTTAAAGAAGAACGTCTCGCCCCTTTAAGCCGACTACCTTCTCGTGGTTCCTTCAGCAATGAGACCTGAAGTACTTGAAGCTCTATACGACGACCTGACGGCAGGACTCCTCGGTGTTTCCCGTACGCTCGCAAGAATACAAGAAAAGTACCACAGGCCACAATATGCTGCCGACGTCACTCGTTACGTCAGGACTTGCCGCGACTGTCGGCGACAAAAGACACCGCCGACTAGGTCAGCTGGACTTCTCCAGTCCATCGAGCCACCTCGCCGAACGTTCTAGCAAATCGGCATAGACTTACTGGGGCCGTTCCCGACGTCGAATTTCGGGAAGCTACTAACTACCTCACACGCTACGCCGAGAAGACAAAGACCCTGCCTAAAGGCAGTGCCTCCTAGGTAGCAAGGTTCTTCATCGAGAACATTGGTCTGCTTTACGGAGCTCCACAAGTCCTCATTACTGATAGAGGTACAGCCTTTACGGTGGACACGACTCAGGCGATCCTGAGGCATAGCCAGACAAGTGACCGTCGGACCACTGCCTACCATCCACAGACCAACGGCCTCACAGAACATCTAGATAAGACCATCGCTGATATGCTGGCCATGTACGTCGATGTCGAACGCAAGACGTGGAATGAAATCCTCCCGTACGTGACCTTTACGTACAATACGACCGTCCGAGAAACGACGCAGATCACGCCATACAAATTGGTCTATGGAAGGAGCCTGGCAACGACGCTATCTTTCCAAACGTCGCTGATGAAAAGAACCTCGACGTCACCGGCTACCTTCAGCGCGCTGAAGAGGCTTGGCAACTTGCCCACCTGCGCATCAAGAATCAGCCGGCAATCGACAGTCGCCGTTACAATCTTCGACGAAGCTTCGTGGAGTACCAGCCCGAGGACCGTGCCTGGGTATGGACGCCGATACACCGACTTGGGCTTAGTGAAAAATTTCTGTGACAGTCCTTTGGACCGCACAGAGTAGTTCGACGTCTCAGCCCACTTGACTACAAGGTTGTTCCCGACGGCATCGCGAACTTTCAATGGCGCCGTGCTCGACCAGAAGTCGTCCATGTCGTGCACCTCAAGCCATTTCATGCGCGAACCTGAGGACTGAATTGTGTTGTTGTTGCTGTGCTTTATCGCTTGTACTTATTATTTATTGTCTTTATTATTGTACCTTCGTCTTTTGTTTAAGCATCGGGACAATGCCTTTTTCAGAAGGGGGCAACGCCATGTTCCTTTCCTCAAGTTTTATTATCACCCCTTTACACTAGGCTCAGCGCAAACTGCACCTACGATGTTCGGACAGCTTCAAAGCTGTAGTAGATCGTTTTGTTAAGATTATGCCCACTTCCTGAACATTACATACTATTCTGGAACCTACGTCGCCGCTAGCAATAACGCTAGAATATTCGATGGCAAGTGTATAAATACCGACACGCTTTGCCGTTTGTCAGTTGATCGACGGCCGACGCAGCATACGTCGCTATCAGTGCAAGTGTGCTACCATAACCCTACTGTTCGTTTAGCGGGCATAGGTTCGCCCAAAGAAACAGTTTGATCTGATCATCTAGTCTCCTGCCTTCAGCCACGTCACGACACCGTGACAATGTGAGCACCTTTGCTACAACCATGGGTAAGTGGGGCGTGGAACTTTGTGTGTGTCGTTCTTTTCGGAGTGCTCAGTGTGTTACAAACGCTACAATTTGTGTCTCATACAACTCCACATTCAGAGTTCATGGATGTATGCACTGTTACGATGATGGCAATGTCACCAAAATGTACGACATTATTTTGTTTCTTAAACTGTACCTTATCACTGAGTTCTAGAAGGTCTCGACTAGCTATTTTAATTACTCCGATGAGCTAAAGTGTTCGAATTCTGGCAACTCTGAAACGTGACATGGTCCTACTTTGTTGGCCACCCTTCTCACAGTGTTCAACGTGGTAGTAGGGGAATGCTTCTTTTGATTGGCTCAGAAAAGTGAGCGATTCTGTGCACATACACTTTGCAGTGGCACGATTTTTTTATTACGCAAAGGAATGCTCTATGCATGAAATAAAAAATAGATTCAGCAGCAATGATGGCTAGCCATCAAAGAGCCCAGCATGGGGATGCTCAAATATTCATGCAAACGCCAGCCATACACCGCCCTACAACACAATGCACATAAGCCAATATTGGCTATTGGCATGTGGTTTATTCAAGCTGCCTACAAAAGCGCAACCACTAATTTTGCGTGGGTGGGTCAGCCCAGGATGTTTTCTATGTGAAGCCGGAGGGGGAAAGGGGTGCTTAAAATCACTCAGCGTCTGCTTGACTTTCATGATTCCATTCCCTTCTCCCAGGACACAGGGAGGCACGAGAGGGATATACCCCTTCCCCCCACATAATGGCATGGGCCCGCGGTGATGCCACTTACCAAACACCTGCTGACAGACGCCTCTGCGGGGCACATCACGGGTTAAAGATATGGCAAAGCACATAAAAGACTGATGTAAACTTGAAGTCTTGGAATGTCTTTTTTTTAATAATGTCAGGGCAAAACTAAACCTATTCAAATACTGCCTTTATAATTTCAAATATGTTTTCTGTTCTCGTTAGAATGACCAGGTTTAAGTTTTTCCAATGATATACTACGTTTTTGGGATTCATTGAATAAATATTGACTGCACTCGATAAGTTGGGTGGCTGATAGTGCATCCTTTTTTTTCCATTACACTGAACTCTACACAATACTCTACCCAACTATAATACCTATTAACACTAAGGATAATGAACTAAATAAATTAATAAATACTACTTGCAAACGCCATGATTGTTGCCAAGAGCTTTCCACCTGAGCATTGGATGGTTTTCACGGTTGATGATTGTGTGGGCCAAACACTGTCACCTGAGATCGCTGAAGGCAGACTTCAATTTCCTTCTGAATCTGCGGCAGCCACAGGCGGATCTCTGTCGACGATTGAAACTGCTCCTGCAAAGAAAGTTAGTCATGAAAGAACCATCTCACCAATGACTTCAGCGAGCTCAGAGCCAGATGACTTCAGCGAGCCAGAGCCAGTGAGTTCGCTGCAGCCTGGCGCTTTAGGGCCGTGCTACATGGAGCAATAATGCTCACAGAACGTTTGTGAGACACAATAAAAGTGAATTCATTTTATGGCAGATTTTAGCTTAGGCTCAGGGTACGAAAGAAATTGGCTTATCTTTATTGTTCAGACCTGTGCGGCATCCAAATTATAGTGAAATGTAACCTGATGTTGTTGACAATCTTCTGCAAAGTAAATTGAACCAATAATGACATGCTTCGGTCACAAATAACACAAACACAAGCATAGGAACACTCGACAACAAGCACAATCGGCTTGTCGACAAGCCCAAGCACAACGACAAGCTTGTGCTTGTTGTTAAGTGTTCCTTTACTTGAGTTTATGATATTTGCGGCCAAAGCATATCATTAAGCAAGCACCAACTAGGCCAACAAACAGTATTGTTAAAATTGACATCAATTGTGGTGATACCAACGAATTTGACACATTATACCGCATTAACCTTTAACTCATTTGTGTTGTATGGTCCACTGACTTTTGCATGGCTTGAACGCACAGGGTGGTTGGTGTGAACAGTTTGATATAATACTGACCAGTGTGGATCTGTATATCAGCGGCTGGTCACCTGTATGCGTCAGTGCTTCATAGAGTGCCATTTCCACTGCATGTTCACTCGCATGTGATATTGTGTGCAGTGCATAACCATTACAGCGGGCCAATGTGTGCTGTAGCGGACACCATTGTTATGAAATGAGTTTCGGGGAGCCGGCTTCTGAGTGGTGTTAGAGACAATGACTAGGGCAGCAAGAAAGTGGACGCAACTTGCACGGCACACAAACATATATTCCAATGCAAGAAGGCACAAACAACAAAAACACGAAGCATGGAAATACAAGGAACACAAGAAGCGTCTTTAGAAGGAGTTCACAAAGCCGGTGCCCTTGCGTGTTTGGGGCTCCACGAAGCAGTCGTGGCGATGCTGCTGGACGAGAAGAGCCAGGAAGGTTGTTGCAGGGTCCGCGCCCGCTGGGCACCGGAGCAGACGACATGCCGCGTACGAAGTCCTTCGGGCGTTTACATTCGATGAGGTGCCTCCGGCAATGTTGTCCTCCCGAACATGGACCTCCGGCCAGGCCAATGCGCCTTCCTCTCTCAAGCTTCTGGCTCCGTCTGCTCAGCCAACGTGGCCACTTCTTTCTTCTTTTGCGCGCGACTTGAGCAAATGTGCAGCGAGTAGATACTGTAGATGAATGCATGTGCGTGCGCGTTTTTGCCACCACTTCGTTGTCTTCTTAGCTGCGTCAGGGGACTTTATCACAAGTGCATGTGATGGCTAAGACCAGAGGACTAATTGTAATTACCAGATTAGCTAAATTAGGTGTCACAATAATGAGACTTTGCTGCATTTTAATTGAAGAATGAAGAACGTGAACAAGTGAGATGCAGGCAAACGAACAGAAAATGGATGTCTGCTTGTGCCGTCACTTGTGTCTAACTAGTCTGCGCTTTATGCACTATACTTCCCCCAAACCAACATGCCCATTTTTCTCTTCTGACAAAAGAATAGAGCTTAACCTCTTAACTTTTTTGAATAAGTACAGCTGTTCCTTGTCAAAGAGTACTAAGCCATTTTCGGTAAATGTGGCTCGTCCCATTCAGATAATTATTTATTCATGAGTGTTTTGAATGAGACTTGCTCATTTTTAGGCTACTTCATGTGTAGCTTTGCAGATGGCAGTATTTGCTTGACAATTCCTTTACCTTGAACTGCTACTTCACGCTTTGTCCTGACTTTAGAAAATGTTGTCGATGAAAGCGGCGCATGCGATGCTTGTGCACCGTCGCAGAAAATAACCCCTTCTTTGTCGCACAGCTTTTCATCGAAATATTTGGAGTCCCAAAACCACAATATGATTGTGAGAGACGCCGCTGTGAAGGGCTCTGGAAAGTTCCATCATCTGGTGTTCTTTAAAGTGCACTACCATCGCACAGTACACAGTAGAAAGTGTTCACAAGACCATGAGCATGGACACTGACACGTGGGCTACTTATGATTGTGAGAGACGCCGCAGTGAAGGGCTCTGGAAAGTTCCATCATCTGGTGTTCTTTAAAGTGCACTACCATCGCACAGTACACAGTAGAAAGTGCTCACAAGACCATGAGCATGAACACTGACATGTGGGCTACTGGCCTTGGTTGTACGGCGCCGAGCACAAAAGTCGCGAAATGTCATAAAAATTTTCAGATGATAACTTTTACGGCTGATGGTCCAGAATGGCTAAAATGTGTTCTAGCAGAAGTGAGCGACTTTAACGAACCGATTCAGTGTAGTACGACATAATAGGACTGGGTGCACTGCGCCTAAAGCACTCAGCCAATAAGGGCACCTATAGCCGCAGCAGCTTTGGACACAACAACCAGAAGCAGTATTTGCACCATTAAGTTTGCATACTTGATCGCATTTTGCACAGTGAAGATTTTCTTGTGGTAAGTCATGGTTTCGCACTTTGACAACTCAAGATGCCGTGCTGTGAGCTGCCATAGCATTTACAGTTATTCACTAAGAAGAAAGTTTGAAGGTCGTGCAGAGAACTTGATATTATTAATATGTAGAGCCTCACGTCCCAAAGCCATGATGAGACACACTGTTGTGAAGCACTCTGGAAATTTCCACTGCCCGGGATTCTTTACCGTGCCCTGACATTGCACTGTACACAGGCTTTTACTATTTCACCTTCAGCAAAATTCAACAGTCATGGCGACGACTAAACCCGTGACCTTCAGGTCAGCAGCCGAGCACCATAACTACTGCTCCACCGCGGACAAAAAAGGCTAACGTTGGATTCAGCTTGTTTGTTAAGGTGAGAATTTTTTTATACTAGCTTCAATGTATTTGCATTGCCAGCTGCAGTGGGGTAAACCGGATGGGGGGGGGGGGGGGGGGGGGAATTTGAATGACTTACAACTCCCTTGAAATTCATCTTTGAAGTGCTATATATCTTTCTATTCTGGGCATGCTCAGAACACAACCAACCACTATACATAGCCTTCATAGATTAAAAGGCATTTGATTGCGTAGAAATATCAGCAGTCATGCAGACACTACTGAATCAGGGCGTCGATGAAGCATATATAAACATCCTGCAAGAAATGTGCAGGGAATCAACTGCGACCACAGTTCTCCATAAAGAAAGCAACAAAATACCAATCAAGAAGGGCGTAAGGCAGGGGGATACAATCTTACAAGAGTGGAAACTTGGGCTAGTTGGTGCGTAGTCATATTTGCAGGATGTTTCAGCGCGCGAACAAAGGAAAAAGGACAGGGTAGACAGAAAGAGCGCTGACTTCCAACTAACTTTATTTCACAGAGTGGCAAGAATATATACTGCTAAAAAAGGATGATAACAGAGCATGAAGGTAAAATGCACCCTAATCTACACATCAGTAACAAAACACGTGTGACAGGTCCTCTATTGCCTCAAAGCCGAGCTAGGTAATCACGTTCAGCCTGTGATAAAGCAATCGATGATGTGCTTACACATTTATCTCCTAGCAAGTGTATTTTTTCGGCTTCAATAATTTCTCGGGTAAGCTGATCCCTGTGCCTTGCCAATATGGAGCACTGATCAAAGAGAGGTGTGCACCCACAATTTCGGCAATGAATGCCAAGATGCCCTTGTACCACATTGTGCACATTGTTTCGGTGTTCTCGGAGGCGGTCATTTATGCACCTGCCGGTTTGCCCGACATAGATGCACCCACACGTCAGTGGAATCAAGTAAACGACTCCCACTGCGCATGGGACGTAGCGTGTCCTGTGCGCGACAGAGCACGAGGCAGAATTTGCACGAGGTGCATTGACCCGTTTGCAAAGCCTCTGCAATTTTTCCGGGGCAGAAAAAACCACAAAAACGTTGGCGTCTCGAGCAATCTTTTTTAGCCTGTGTGATACGTCGTGCACGTAAGGCAGTACGACAGGCCGGCTCTTTTTGCCACTGTTTCGCTTATCCGGTTTGTCGCCTCGCTTCAAGACAGTGACCAGCTTTTCCGCCACCGAAACGAGAACATGCGCGGGGTAACCAGCTTTGGTAAGCCGCTCTACTTGTAGAGCAAAGCTGTGGTGTACCATGTGGGGGCATGACTTCTTTAAGGCATTGACAAGGCAGAGGTTAGCGATGCCCCGCTTGACCAATTTAGAGTGAGCTGAGCTGAAAGGCAGAAGAGGCTTGCCGCTCCTTGGCTCATACATCCAGCAAACATGTCGGGAGTCTAACAAAAGCTTCAAATCTAGAAACTTCAGGTTGTTATTAGTGGGTGATTCATGGGTTAGAACTAGTGGTTTCAGGCACTCCCGGAAAACAGTCAACACGTCAGAGGAAACGTTCTGAAAGTTTTGACTATCGCATTTCAACAACACTAAGTAATCATCAACAAAACGGCAAACTTTAAAAACTACAGAGTCGTCAAGCTTGTTTGACAAGACACGATCATGATGTGCTAGAAATATGTCACTAAGAATGGGTGCCAAACATGAACCAATACATATTCCACTTTTTTGCAAGTAGTTTTTGTCCTCCCATGATACAAAGGTGGCCTTCAAATAAAAACCGAGTAATTCTAATAAGCTGCTGTTGTGAATTCCAGTACGCGTTTGAAACGCTGATGATCCTAACCTGTCTATGGATTCCTCTACACATTTTAGTAGTTGGTCATGCGGCAAAGAGTAATACAAGTCCTTAATATCTACAGACATTGCCTGGAGTCCTGTGTTAGTTCGTCCAATAATGTCAATAACAGCGTCAGAGTTCTTGACCAAAAAAGGATCGTCTATTGTTATGTGTTTTAGCTTTTCCTGCAAGAAAAGTGCTACAGACTTTTGCCAGGTCCCCCTTTCTGTTACAATGACCCGCAATGGGCAGTCAATTT